TCCAGTGCTGATGGGTTTTTACACCGCACCCAGATGTATTTGTTTTTTAAGGCCGAGTTGATCTAGGGGAGGCCCCAGTAACCTGTTCATAATAGTTTTGCCCTACCGATGTTATCCGTCCGGCGGGAATCTTAACTCGGAATGCTCAACTCGGGATGGTGTCGCAATGCCGCCGACTGCCGCGCCACGGCTCTCCCCTAAGAAGACTATAACGAGAGACTCGCGTGCACAACGCGTGCGTGACCATTGCATATGTAGCGAGCAGCGGTCTCGCTACGTTAGCGGTGCGTGTCCAACGCAATTTGAGTGATGGTCCCATCACCCCGCCTCCCCATCACGCATCCCCTCCCCCCCCACACGCACACCCCGTTACCCCCATCTTATCCCATCGCACACAATCACCATCGCACCAACAGCAGCCGACATTCGCCACTAAGTGGCGGTCACGTCACCAAAGGCGCCTGTGCCAGGCTAGGTGCACTTTGAGGCCACGTGAAGTGTCGAAGGCTCGTTGGCAGGAGGTCTCGGAACACACCCAGGTACCGTGGGTTGACTGAGATGACTGACATGCCCCCCCCCCCCCCCCCCCCCCCACCACATGTGCTTCCTACTGTGCCAAATTTTGAAATGTTTTAGCCGCCTGGTACTCCGTTCGTTGTTGTGAGCGTCGCTCCTCTGCCCTCCGCTGCTGTTGGAATGCGGCTGCCTCCACCTGCCCAGTAGCAGCGTCCTTCACGAGCCTCCTCCCATGAAGGCCGATGTTGACACCACCGCTGGTACCAATCGTCGGCAATTCCACACGGCTGCACATCCTCCTGCTTTGTAACGCATCGGTTCAACTCTTCTCTAGCCCGTGGCGTACCCATTTAGCCGCCTCCGCTATCCGACCAAACAGAAGCAACTCGCTCGCTCGTCATCCGCACACCATTCTCAGTCCCAACAAACACGTCGCCTTTCGTGGCACTCACTCGGGTCGTGAGTTTTTTTCACGCAGTTCAAGCGAAACGTCGTATTTTGACTGCGATTTTGTAAGATAATTGTTTATTGAACTTACCCGTGAGCTGGAACAATAATAATGATCGGCGCGCGTTTTATAACGATTGTACACGACCACGTGACAATGTGTTTGTTTTGACTGTCGGGTGGCGGAGGGTTTCACAACAACAATTGGGCCAGGTCTCTAGCCACGCACAAACCAAATGGTGAACATTAATTATACAGATTTTTGTCAATCCGCTGCTGGATGGAAGGCCTCCCCACGCCGTATCGATCGGGCGGGAGGAGGGGGAGATTGTTTGACCATACTTCACCACGCTGGTAAAAATGATGGTTTGGTTATTGAAATAGGAGGGAGCGAAATTAAAATCGGAGCGGTTGCTCAAATTACAAACCAGGCTCTCCGATATCGGAGACAGGATCAGACTCTTATATGTATAATTTGGTGTGTGCATGTAGGTTCACACTGTTGTACGTGTGAGTATTTACACAGCACACGTTTTCTGTACACACACTACGCGTGTCTAACCGTATATGTGTTGCAGGTGTGTTTATGGAGCCGATAAGCGTCTGCTTATACCATTGCTTACATGCATGTCCAATGAATTATTGTGAAATATATAAATTGTGTAATGTGTTCGTCTATACATATGTACGCTTGTAAAATATGTAATTAATAAGTGTCCTCTCGCATTAATTTCCGACATGAGACCGCTGGCCCGAAACGTCGCGATAAAATGTATTCTTCTACGATTTATAGGAAGAGAATTCATTTAATCGCCTTTACCGTTGCCTCTCATGCACCGGTGAACGCGTGCACACGTGCGTGCACGCGTGCGTGCACACGTGCGTGCACACGTGCGTGCACACGTGCGTGCACACGTGCGTGCACACGTGCGTGCACACGTGCGTGCACACGTGCGTGCACGCGTGCGTGCACGCGTGCGTGCACGCGTGCGTGCACACGTGCGTGCACACGTGCGTGCGTGCACACGTGCGTGCACACGTGCGTGCGTGTGTTAGTACGTGGAGCGGTGGCGCAGCGGTTAGCGCACTGCGAAGCCGGCAACCCGAGGTTAACAGTCTCGCGCGCGACCAATAATAACAGGTGGCGAATACTTCAACCGGTCCTGGGTCGCCTCCTCGAGGTTGACTGAGCCTTAAAACGATTTATCCGGTGTAATGGATGAACACCGGCACTGGGGAGACGAAGGCGGCCGGGCGTGTCGTTGGCCACTGGACCCCCCCTCGCGTGCCGTGCCGGCCTCCATCGGTAGTAGATGATGGCACGTGCCCCCCCCCCCCGTCCAAACAGTCTCTTAAAGGTTGTACAGGAGGGGGGTAATCATTATATTTGTGTACGCGAAGCGGCTTCTGAATGTGTGGATGCTGTTATATTTGTACTATTTTAAGATGTTAATGTAAATCGAGGTGTGTGTGTCTCATACGTGCGGGTATATAGTGCTTGTATGTATATAATAATGCGGTGTGTGTTGTGTGTGGGGAGCGGTGGGGCAGCGGTTAGCGCTACGAACCCGGCTTCTTTCCCCCGCATCGCCTTCAAGGCAAGGTGACGACGAATATTTGAACCGTTCCTGGGGCTTCGACAGTCCTGATGTTTAACCATCAGCACTGGGAAGACAAAGGCGGCCGGGCGCGGTGTTTGGCGACCCACCGCTTCGTGTGCCGTGCCGGCCTTAATAGGCGCTCGCAAACACCACTGGCCCCAGCGGTTGGTTAAGGCTATGCGGGGGAATCTGAGTTTTTCATATTTAGATTACATTTAAATGCTTGGTGCGCTATGAGAGATATACAAGGCTGTGTGGTTGCACGCATGCATATATATGTATTTGTGTCTTTAGGACGTGTAATACACAATCTGGTGTCTTTGTATATATCGGTGTGTGTAATATGTGCGGTCTATGTTGTGTGTGTGTATCTTTATGCCTGTGTATTTAAAAATATAGCGTAAACGTCTGTGTGTGTGTGTATACGTATATATATAAGAGCGGTTACATTTGTTTTTTCAATCCCCGGTAACCAGTTTTGAAAACCAGTTTTGATAAACCGGTTACCGCTCGTATACCACGCTCCTTGTGAACTGAGACGCAATGGGAGCTGCCGCCCAATGGTGAGTCGGTGATGAGCTCCCGGATTCGTTTCCCATATCCCGGCACGGCAGTGAAATCCAGCGGTCGAGATCGTGTGGGTTCACCCACACAGCCGATCGATCGTGTGATGGGGTAAATCGTGGGTACATTCCACCTAACTTTTAACAACCATTTGGTGTGTGTGTGTGTGCGCAACGTTCACGTGTGCGTGTTAACTGATGGGTGCGCAGTTTGTGTATACTGTAATGCGAATATTTGTGTGCATATGTACGCATGTATCTCATATGTTTGTGTGGTGTGTCGTGTACACGCCATGTAATGTGGGTAGCGGTTAAAGCGCTGCGCTACGAACCCAGCCAAGATTCGAGTTCGATTCCCGCTCGTGACCAGCAGCAGGTGACGATTATCTAAGCCTGTGCTGGGCCTCCCCTATGTCCACTCGGTCTCCAAATGGGTACCTGGTACGGTGTGTAAATATCAACACTGGAGAGATGAAGACAGCCGGGCGTGGTGCTGGTCACACCCCCGCCCCCCCTCGTCTGCTGCGCTGTCCTTAATAGGTGCTGCTCGCTAACAGCACTTGCCCCAACAGTCTGTTCAAGGCTATACTGGGCATCTTTGTCTTTGCTAGGGAATGCCCATCATCCAGCAGTGGATTGAGCATGGCTGCTGCTGATGACGCGTGCAGTATGTGTGTAAAACTATACTGCATCAGTATATGCGATGCCTGGTACTGCACGTTTATATAATACGTTGATTGTGCGCGCGCGTTCAATCCACGTGCAATCCATTTGCTGTATGTGGGGAGCGGTAGTGTAGTGGTTGGCGCGCTGCACTACGAACACCCCCGGCCACCCCCAGTTCCATTGGGCGCTCAACGCCACCCAACACCACCCAGGTGACGATTACCCGAACCGGTCCTTGGGCTCCCCCGAGGTCGACGCGGCCTCCGTCCGAGTGCCAAATGCGATGTGCAGGCATCGCCACTAAGTCCACGCGATGGAAGCGAGGAAATCCTCATCCCGTTCCCCACGTCCCCCCACGTCTCCCCCGTCTCTCCCGTCTCTGAACCCACGGGAGTGCATCGCAAGCGCGTACACAAGACAGACCCCCCCCCCCCCCCCGTATATCCTTAACCGGACCTTTGGGGGGTGGGGGGGGGGGGCAACGTGGTGTGTTCGCAAGCGCAAACGAAGGGCCTGCCAAGAACCACACCCGGTCGCCTTTGTCTCCCCGGTGTTGATGGGTTTTTTCACACACCGCAGCAGGACACTCGTTTAAGGGCCGAGTCGACCTAGGGGAGGTGCGAGGACCGGTTCAGAGAATCATCGCCGGGGTTAGTGGCCATGAGCAGGAATCAAACTTTTGTTGCACGGCTTCTTCCCTCGCACTGCTCCACTTGGGAATTCCCTCCTCCCATCGTCTCCTCTCGTCCCCCCCCCAAGCTCTTCCTCGATTCAAGACGCAGCGTTCTACTCGTGCCCACTACGACAACTTAGTGCTCCACAGCAGAGGCTTGTGGGTTTATATCGCGTAAAATATAAACGCGTCGTTAAACCTGCCGCCGCCGCCGTAGCCACCCGACCAATTGGTAAGGTTTGTCACGTAAACGGGACATGACAATTGGCTACTGATTCGGCACACCGGTGTGGAGAGTAAACCCGCAACATTTACAATTCGAGTACGACGTTTCGCCGGCAATTACAACCAGCCTCATCAAGCGACAGCCAGAGTTGTGGAGAAATTCCTGTTTCGTTCTTAAACTTGGTGCTGTTTGTTGCTGCCCGCTTGGCGTTTTGAGCCCTTTTTTATTTGGACGTGCGCTAAGCCGCCACGATGCAGATATGATATATTTTAAAGTGCCATTTGTGGTTGTTTCTTTGTCCTCCACAGCATTCTCTCGCCCAACGTTCATCGGCCACCTCAGAACGGGAGTTTGTGGCGCTCGTGTCCGGCTGTTACCTAGCGAGGTCTTCCCCTTTTTGAGACGGAGAAACAAGAGGAGACCAAGGGGGGTGGTCGTACGGCACGCAACATCTCATTGAGTTCAACTCCGAGGGAAGGTTCTCATAATGGCCACGCCGCCCAGCACAGCGGAGAGCGGAGGGGGGGCTGCCTCGAGCGGAGCGGGGAGGGATCCCTCGGCTCGTGTCCTGCGACCCCCAACCGGTGAGAGTGTGTGTGGTGACATTGATCGAGAATGGAAAGATGTGGAGATGATTGGACTCGCCGATTTGACCGGGTGACCAGTTTGGTGTCAACATCGGCCTCTGTGGAGGAGGCTCGTGAAGGACGCTGCTGCTGGGGAGTTTGAGGCAGTCGCCCTCCAGCAACAGAGGAGGGCAGAGGAGCGACACTCGCAACAACGAGCGGAGAGTTGGCACAGCGGGGGAGCAGAGTTGGTGTATCAGCCAGCCATCTCAGTTCGTGGAACCATGGCACCTGGGTCTGTTCGGTGACCTGTCGGCAGGCTTTGACACTTCACGAGGATTCACAGTGCACCAAGCATGGCACAAGCGCCGTGGAGACGGCACTGCCACTTAAGCGGCGAACCGCGGTTGTTGATGGCCACCTATCCCGCGCGTGTGTTGTGTGCAGGTGCTTGCAAGCGACACTTGCCCCAACAGTCTGTTATAAACTACACGGGGGGTGTCTTTGTGATGGGATGCGTGGGGGTCCAGAGGGAGATGTTATTTATTAGGCAGATGGACGGGCAACCAATCGTGTTTTAGCCACCACTGCGAATAATTGACAGAAGTTGGTCTAGTAGGCAATTGACACGATCTTAACAGCAAGTACAGTAATGGATTTTACAGTACACAAAGGTGTGCTGCGCCGAGACTGCAGCAGGTCACGAGTGCCATCCGTCTGCCAGGTGACCACTTTGTGCGTGCAATTGTCCCAGGAGAGAATCGAGTCTTGTTCGTCTCCCGTTGTAACCGTCTCGTTTGCACCTCGTTTTAGTCTCGCATCTCTCTTGCGGTCTTGTTAATTTCATTAAGCACAGGACAGGTTTCGGATATTTTGACACTGGCAAAGGAGGTCCCATGATGTCGCTGCTAACCCCGAGCTCTCATTGTCCTGACGGTGGCATTGTCTTTGTGCTGTTCGCCTTTTGCCATCCTCTGGTCTAACATCGTTTTGAGACTAGGCTCTAAAGAAAGCTGTCTCTGGTTGTGGACCAATCGGTTTCAAAGACAATGCACATACTGTCAGAGCATGTTTTTTTGTTTGCATGTTCACCACAAGTATAATTGCTTAATGCAGACATGATTCCTTGCAAAAGGTTTCAGTTTGGTGTTTTAACATCTTAACACAGCTGTTTTGTTGCCAGAAAGGGGAAAACCTATTCTTATGTGGGGGGTAACTCTGCTCCTGTGTAGGTTACTCCCCAAACCTCCTTCCAAAACGTCTGGCCAGTGTGTGTTTTGAAAGTAGGCCATATACAGTACTGTGTGTTACCGTCCAGGTGGGTCTCTAGAGCTCCCCCGGGGTGGGAGGACACCCACAGCTATAGCGGTGGCATAGGCCGGCACTTTCAGGGCTGCACCTTTTACCACACGTTGCCCTATTCCACACGCACGCGTTGATAAATCACGCGCGCGCGCCAATGCAAGGCTTATTTTAGCCTTCATAGGTGCTCGCTAACAGCACTTGCCCCAACAGTCTGTCAAGGCTATACGGGGATCTTTGTCTGTGTGCGCGCGAGGTGTGGCGGTATGGATTTTTGTGTCGGGGTACTTAAGTCCGGAGATAAAAATACCACAGGTGCCCCCCCCCCCCATCATTACACACAGACCCCCCCAAACATCCCCCAATACAAAATAACGACGTCGCGATGCCTGCCACACGGCACGGACGAGGGAAGGATGGGCGTCCTGCTTGTCCGTCTACTTGACGAGGAGGAGTGGGGGGTGAGAATGAGTAGGTCGGGGGTTGCTGGGGTATTGGGGGGGGGGGGGTGTGCGTGCGCGTCCCCACGTGGTTTCCATCGACTCGGGGAACGAGAGGGCGGCTGGGGTTAGTGGATCGGGCAGAGACGGAGCAATGGGGAAGAACAGAAGGCAGTGCAGTATATAGGAGATGTGCATTGTTGCGTTTATATCCATCGAGTCGGGGATGACGGCGCAAGCCCTGGGATGGTTGAACCATGATTCGAAGCCAGGATGTGTGTGTATATATGTGTGTGTGTATATATGTGTGTGTGTATATATTGTGGGGAGCGGTAGTGTAGCGGTTAGCGCGCTGCGCTATGAACCTGGCGACCCGGGTTCGATTCCCGCTCACGGCCAACACCAGTGACGATTATCTGAACCGGTCCCGGGCCTCCCCTAGGTCGACTCAGCCTCAAATGAGTACCTGGTGCGGTGTGTAAACATCGCCACTAGGGAGACAAAGGCGGTCGGGCGTGGTGTTGGCCACCCACCCCCTCGTGTACCGTTCCGGCCTTCATAGGTGCTCGCTAACAGCACTTGCCCCTACAGTCTGTTAAGGCTATATGGGGGATCTTTGTGTGTGTATATATATTTCTAGTTGTGAACGTATGCTCGACCGAATATTTTTGCCATTTTTTTTTAGTTCTCGTCCCCTCCCCTAGAATATCGTTGCATTTCTGTCGGTTGCTCAAGCTCGTTTTACACGTAATGAGACATTCTGGCGGATACTGATGAGGAGGTGAAGGAAGGCAAACGAAAACCTTGCGATAGCACGGCAGGGCTAAATCCTGCAAACCAAGCATGGCGATGATTGTCAAATGGGGGGAATGAGGTGACAGGCGATGGAAAGGGTTCGAGTGTGTCTGTGTTTGTCAGTCTTTGTGTGTTGGTGTGTGTGTAAAGTGTGTTGGGAGCGGTAGTGCAACGGTTAGCGCGTTGAGCTTATGAACCCAGCGGGCCCAGTTCGATTCCCGCTCACGGCCAACACCGGTGACGAATATCTGAACCGGTCCTGGGCCCCTCAGATCGACTCTGCCTCAAATGAGTACCTGTTGCTGCGGTGTGTAGTAAACATCGCCACTCGGGGAGACAAAAGCGGACGGGAGTGGTGCTGACAACAGCACCCCCTTCGTGTGCCGTTCCCGCTTTCACGGGGGTGCTCCGCTAACAGGACTTGCCCCAGCGGTCTGTGTAGGACACACGCCAGGGAGGATCTTTGTGTCTGTCTCTCTCTCTCTCTCTCCCCTTCTGTGAGATTGGCTTGGACAAATACAACAGAGGGGGGCAGCGGTGCGTGGAATGGGAAGGGAGGGAGCAGAGGAGAGGCCTCGGGGTTCATGAACAACAGAACCCACCCCCCACTCGACTCCCCATACTGCTCAACGCAGCCGTCTCACCTCCTCCATCCTCGCCCAACTGTGTCGCTCTTCTTCATATTGCAGCGTTTCCCCATCTCTTGGTGGGATTTCACTCTGGGTTGGAGTGTGTGTGTGTGTGTAGTGTCTCCAGTGGTAATGTAGCGGTTAGCAAGCCGCACTACGAACCCCGCGACCCGAGTTCGATTCCTGCTCCAGCCAACCCAGTGACGATTATCTGAACCGGTTATGGGCCTTCCCTAGGTCGACTCTGCCTCAAATGAGTACCTTGTGCAGTGTGTAGTAAAGTCTTTGCCACCAGGGAGGCAAGGACGTGGTTCTAGCCACCCATCCCCTCATGTGCCGTGCCGGCCTTCATAGGTGCTACTCGCTCACCCCACTTGCCCCCACAGTCCATTAAGGGTATACGGGAGTATTTTGTCTTTGGTGTTTTCGGTAGTTTTTTGGAGATGCGAGATTTTTATTTTACAGTGAACCAACTTTATATATCAATAACTGAAACCTTGTGAACCTGACTCCTCCTCCATTGTGTCCCTACCAGAACGGTAAATCAAGTCGGCGGGTGATGCAATCCAAATGCAGATCCGCATCTCTTGACCAAGCGGGTAAAAAAAACCCCAAAAACTCCAATTTTTATGTTAAATAAATTTTTGCCATCGCGATCTGCGTAACATTTCTCCCCACGAATATTAAGATTCTGACGCTATCGTGGAACTTGGGTCCCATCGTTCTCCCCGAGGGCTACCTACCTACCACGTGGGATTCCCAAATAGAACCAACCTTTTCTTGTTTATCTTGTTCAGATGTTTTTTTGGGGTTTGATCTCGTAAATATATAAATGTGTCTGTTTAAACCCGCCGCCACCCGACACAGCCAATTAGTAAGGCTTGTCACGTAAACAAAACGTACCAATTCGTTACGAGTACAGCACACCGCTGTGTTGGAGAGTAAAACCCACATTTTACAAATGAGAGAATGACGTTTTGCTGGTAATTACAACCAGCTTTATCAGGCAACAGCCAGAGTTGTGGAGAAATTCTGTTTCGGTCTTTATATTTACACGCTATAACCCAATCACCTTGTTATTTGCCTTTGCACTTCCCCAATGCTTCATTTTGACGTCTCTAATCAATTCTGTGTTTTTTGTATCCTTTGATTTTTGTTCTTATTTTTCCGAATAGTTTTTTACAGTAAATCTGGGAACCGTATTTTTGAGTCCTTTTGTTGGACGTTTTCATCTCTCTCGAGCTCGCTCCTCTTCAACAAATCCTTTGTGGTCCTCCGATCATTATGCACTTTTGATTGTTCACCTTTTCTCTCCACTTTATAGGCTGGTTAGCGTGCTACAATTTGTAGACTGATGTCCCCGTTGACATTGTACGAGACACCACGTGTGTGAAAACCAGCCCAATATTTTTCCTGAACTGAATCCATGCTGCTGAAATGATGCACTCCCAGAGAGCCCATGAGGCCAAGGACATGCGAGACGACACTCATGATTATCTTGTTGGGAAAAGTAATGGTTTATTTTAGATGCCTAAAAAAGGCTCGTAGTGCCAGACGAAGGCACAGTTCCATGAATGTTCTGATGATTCTAATGGATATCCAAGACGAGGCTGAGATGAAGGCTAAAGATATGTTTAAGCAGTTTAGGGGTTTAATATTGCCTGTTTGGAGAGCCAGACTAAGAATACCTTGTTTTTAAGTGGGAGTCTGTCTAAAGCTCCGTTACAATTGTGATCTCTGGGTGAAAGGCGCTATCGAAGTGTCAATTATGATTATTACTGTTACTTCAGTGTTAGGGGTCAAAGGCTCGGGGGTCTGCCTGACACCTTTTTAAGATCCTTAGAGCTAATGCTGTTAATATCTGACCATTTAGTGAGCCAGTCTAAGGTACGCTGAACAAACAGAAAAACCTCGTCGGTAACACTCGTGGCTTAAAATATATAGAATTGGTGACGTTTCAAGCAAAGGCAGTGTTATTGACGAATACTTTGGTGTTTTTAAGGCATATTTTAATATTATTATGGTTCACTGTTAATGTCCCCCGGCTCACGGAGTCGGACCGCAGCAGTTGCATGAGTCAGATTCTCGGTGCACGGCGTAAATGCTTCAGTAAAACAGGTGATTTACCCTTTTGAAGGGCTTCTATCATAAGTGCACGTGCACGCACACAATGGACCTTCATCCGTTGCAACTAATAAATTGCGCTTGCATTGTCTAATATTTTAAAGCGCGCGTGTGTGTTAAGCCACTGAATCGATTGCAATTAACACAGATGCCTAATGATGGTGAGATAATTAATTGGGAGCACCGCATCTCCTTAATTTGTTTTTCAAAATGTTCATCATTAATACTTTACGTGCCGGGTAATAATATAAACATAAGCCTTCGCCATTAGTCTTTGTGCAAAAAAATAATAAACGAAACGAGAGTAATTAAATGCATGAATGGGTTTTGGCGTGAAGTGTTCGTGCTGTGTGGGATGTTTGTAGAGTCGAGGTGTATGGGGTGGCGGAGGTGTGTGGAGAATGGGGTGGTTTTAAAACCCCTGCTTGTGTGTAATAATATTTGTGGGGAGTGGTAAGTTTAGCGGGTTGGCACGTGAGGCTACAAACCCGGTGACCCGAATTCGATTTCCGCTCGCTGCCCAACACAAGTGGACAATGATGAAATTATCTGAACGGGTCCTGGGCCTCCACTAGGTCGACTCGCCCTCAAATGAGTATCTGGTGCGGTGTGTGCACATTGCCACAAGGGAGACCAAAGGCGGCCGGGTGTGGTGCTGGCCACCCATCCCCCGTCGTGTGCCGTGCCGGCCTTCATTGGTGTGCTACTCGCTAACAGTAAGTTAAAGGCTAAACGGAGGCTCTTTGCTTTTGAGTTTGTGTGGTGCGAGTTTCTCAGCTCGTGGTGTGTGTGGTCGTGTGTGGTGTGAAATATTTGTAAAGCGTGCGTGTGTGTGTGTTAGCGATGTTGCGTTTTTGCATGTCCTAGGTGTGCACAATAACGGCTGTGGATATTTCTCGCAGATTACAACGACTGGTGCGAAGTTGCCCACGGCTGCACTCGCAAGCTGGGTATGAAGCTGTGTGGTGAGTCTCTAACGTCCCTCTCCCTCCTTTCCTGTCGCAAGTCTCCGTGTCATTTTTGTTTGCCAGTCCTCTGCCTGCTGGATCCACTGCGTGCCAGCCTACGTGAACGCCTAACCCGGCCTCTCCTCCCCCCCCCCCCCCCCCCCCCCCGTTGCACGACTACCACGATCGCCGCTTGTTGCAGAAGTCTACGCTTCCAAGCCGGTGCAGGGCGCCCTCCCTGGCTGATACCCCAGGCGGTATCGACCGTCAAATGCGGCGCCTCTCTCCCCCTTGCGATGTTGTTTGAAAAGAGGGGGGAGGCCGTTGTTTGCCGGGCTTCGTGGTGAAAAATTTGAAAGCATTTTTTAAAAAAAATGTTCTCTGTTGGGGAAAAACTCTCCCAACGGCAACGTCGCCCCGTCCTGTGAAGCTGCTGCCGACTGTGTCTGTGAAACACGGCAGCATTGTGATCAGCCTTGCAACTACCAAACGTACTGGATTAGTATTACTATTACCTGCAAGTCTGTGTGTGTGTGTATTATTGTGCCTGCATGACTGGCAGGCTGTGTAGGTGTCTGTTCTTTATTCTTCCAGTCTAAGGCTGTCTCTTCTTAGCACTCTGTCCACGTCTCTTCTTCACTGTCATGCCAAGTCTCCGAAATTCTGCCAAGTTAAAATCTCACCCGGGTGCTACGGTGTCACACTTTCACTACACCTCCTAAACTCTCTTTCCCCCCCCTCCCAAATGAAGTTTCAAACTCCTCTCGGCAGACAGCCCTAGACACGGACCTGGGTGTGTAGCTACAAGATAAGAGCCGTGTGTGCTCCTTTGAAAGGGTGAGTCTTGCTATTTTGGTGATTTCGAAAAGTTTTTTGGTTTGGCCATGTCTGTTTGTTGTAGTACGGAGTTAGACTGATGGCCTTAATCTAAGTTGTTTTGTGGTTGTTGTTTGACTTGCATCCCACTGGGATTTTTGCACACAGCGTTGGTGTACGGTGCTTTTTCAGGAATATTTTGCTGGTTTTTTCCTGGATTTTCTGTTTGCACAGTCACATAGTCACTTTAAGATGTTTTTCATGTTCGTGTTTTTGTTTTTTGTTTGTTGTGGTTGCACCCGATTCAAGAGCCGAATGGCTCACAGGGCTAAACCAAATAAATAAAAACTGAAACTTTAATTGTACCTTTTGGAGACTCCTCTCTCTCTCTCTCATAGCAGTACAGCTGGGACTATGCAGAGGCAGATCCAGAAACTTCCCAAGTTGGCTGAGGGTCCTGAAATGTTAGCTTTTGAAAAAGGGCCTGGCATTGATGAACAAAAACACATCTGGTAAATATAATATACCAGTTTACAATCCTGGAGGCCTCCAAATATCAATAATATACCTGGTCAGATATTTGTTTGACGCCATCGTTATGAAGAGACATGATGATGATGATGCTCTGTTCCATTCCGGTGCAGTTCCAACTTTTTCACCAGCGGTGCAGCTGTTGAGTGTGCAGGCAGTGCAAATGCATCGGCACCCATGGGCCGAAGGGGCCCCGGTGCTCTGCTAAAGAGGTGGGGGGGGAATCTTACAACCCCCCCCCCCCAATTATTGTATTTGGAGCAGGGCCCATACCAATCGCGCTACGCCGCCTCCATTCCCCACTCCACCTGTGTGGCCCTGACTTTGTCCTTAACCCAATGTGTACGGGTCCCTTGACCTCGCCCTTAAGTAGTGAGGACTAACAAATGATTGCTGGTGGGAACCAAACATATAAATTCTGCTTGGAGGGGGGGTACAAATATTCCGGGCGGTGCGAACCGATCTTCATTTCATCACCGGCTCGGTGTCACTGACACGGCCATTACGAGGCCCCCAGAGCCACGCGGCCAACTCGCGGCGTTTAATCTTTCGAGAGGCGGAAAACGCAGAAGCACTTTGCGGCGGACTCCCAATTTATCGCTGCGACTTTGCCGTAATCATCGCCGGGAGAAATGTAAATTGTCAACGTAAATGCCGGGAGCCCCCTTTTTTTTTAAACTGTAAAAGCCGCCCCTGAGTAATGGAGAACACCGGTTCACTTGTGGCTCGTTGAAGGCAGAGTCGTCGTATTTATCACTGTGCGCGGCTCGTTCACGAAAAGGAAATGTTTTATGTACATAATTGTTAGTGCAGGCATCCAACGCCACCGGCGGCCACAAGAAACTGCGCTTTATCGACTGCTTGATGATGGAATTGGCATTGCGATGCCGCGATCTATTGCACACCTGAACTCGGAACGACTTTTTCCCTCCTTCAGGCTGCACTCCATGGTAAAGGCTTGACCATCGAGCATAGTGTCCTGACCAAACCCGGTCTTGTTGCTGAACAGTCGGAACGGTATGTCTAACTTGCATTGGGGGTGGGTGCATGGTACAGATAAAGATGCCAATGTAATGTAACCACGAGTAGTTCTCATTGAGGTTATCTTCCAGGACCATTCTCTGGCTGCTGCTCGCTTCTTGAATGGAAAATGTCTTGATCTTATGACGTGGTGCTGACGGCACAATTGAAATAAAAAAATATATATAAATTCTGTGTTGCGTAATCATATATGTGAACACATTATACGCTGCTGTGTTGGCAGTGATACAACAAAACATAATTTAACGAAACGATTCCCATCGTGTTCATCAATGACACTGTGGCCTTAAAAGGAAAAGTGTATAATAGGCGACGTTTCGGGAAATGACCCGTCTTCATGTCGCATGTAAGTTCTACTCCGTATATAATGCCAACCGATATTTGCTATGAAGAAAGGTTGCCTCTAATTTATTTTTCCTGTTTTTGAAGGGCAACGGTGTGATTGATGAATGCGTCGATGTTTTGTTGACAAATTGTGAGTAATTTGACGTTTTTAAAGGCACACTATGTATTGTGACCATCTTTTGCTTAATCAACGTTGCTTTTTGTATGAGAAAAAATGTATTGTGTTAAAATGACCATCACCTTTTAAAAGGGTAATTGGCCTGTCCGTGTTAAGTGAAAGTGAACCGATTACGAGCCGAGAGGAATAATAACGTCTGGGGTTAGAAGGAGCGCGATATACAAGGTGCTTAAAAAAAAAGTTGGCACTTTTGAGAATTTGCAACAATACCACAATAAGTGTACCTCCCAGACTCTTGGGACCACCTGGGGAAGATTTCAGGCATGTGACAATGATGGCGAACAAGTGGAGACTCTTTGACTTTTAAAGCTATCAACATACATTTGTTATCGTGTTACAGTGTAGTATCCGTTCTTTTTCCACTTTAAAAACGATTTTCCCATTTTAAGTGTTACATTTTTTTAAAGCAACCTATGTTTAGCTCGGAAAGCCTTGAATAAGGTCCCACTAGAGCTAGAATGTGCAATCGATTCACGATTATCGGTTGGTATCATAGGCATTGACCAGGTCAAAGCAGATGTGTCAGTCTTGTTGGAATTCCCTACACCTCTGCTGTAGCAGACGGACAGAGAATATGACTTCTGTGCAGGACCGCCCTGCTCTGAAACCACATTGGAGCTCTGCAAGCCTCTTGGCGTGCCTGGTAAGGCAATGTTGAATAATCCTTGACAGGACTTTTCCCGTCACACCTGAGGAGGAGAGGGAGATGCACCTGGAGTTGTCACAGTCTGTGCGGTCCCCCTTCTCAAATAGGGAGGCCACCAGGGCATCCTTCCAATCCTGCGGAAATCCTCCTGTGGCCCAGACAGTTGCGATGATGTCATGTAGGGCAGTCTGCACACAGACGCCACCCTCCCTTAGCATTTGGGGAGTCTCTCTGCCCGGTGCTTTTCCTGATCTCGGACTCCGGATCGCCGCTCGTAATTCCTCCAAAGATGGCACCCTCGGTCATCCACTCAGAAGGGGTGGCTACGTCTGCCAATATTTGAGGCTCGCAGGGGCTGAGCTGAAGTGACTGCTCCACTCCACCCAGCGCTGCCCCCTCTCCTCCCCTCTCATCGCCTCCTTCTCTCATCGCCTCCTTCTCCTCCCCTCTCCTCCCCTCTCATCGCCTCCTTCTCCTCCCCTCTCATCACCTCCTTCTCCCCTCCTCTCCTTCCTCCGCTCGCCGGGTTCGTCCTCGTCGTGTTTGTGTTTTGTATTTCGCTGTAAGCACCGCACACGCCGCACGTCTGTCTTTGCTTAAGCCGTTACGTTGAGGCGTGTAATGACCAGTCCAGCCGACCATGTAATGATGTTACGGGGGGCTGCCTCTGTGTGTGTGTGCGCGTGCGTGCTTGCGTGCGCGTGTGTGCATCTCCATGTGTGTGAACGGGTCTGTGTGTGTATCTGTGTGCACGTGTGTGTGTGTGTGCATTGTTTCTGGGTGTACATTTGCGTGCGTCTGCATGTGTGTCAGTGTGCGTGCAGTGCTTGTCTTTTGTGTGCATGTAGTGGGTAGCGGTTAGCGCTCTGCGCTACGAACCCAGCGACCCGAGTTCGAATCCTGCCGAGGGTCAACACCAGTGACAATTTATCTGAACCGGTCTTGGGCCTCCCCTAGGTCGGCTCGGCCTTAAATGAATGCCTGGTGCGGTGCGTAAAAAAACATCGCCACTAGGGAGACAAAGGCGGCCGGGCGTGGTGCTGGCCACCCACCCCCTCGTGTGCCGTTCTGGTCTTCGTAGGTGCTCGCCAACAGCACTTGCCCCAAAAGTCTGTAAAGGCTACACGGTGGGTCTTTGTCTTTTTTTTTGTACTCGCGTGGTGTCGTGTGCGGTTGTGTGTAGTGTCCGTCGTGGTGTGTGCGTGCCCGTCATGTTAACGTGATCGTGCGTTGCGTGTGTGCGGCATACGGCGGGGCGTTCGTGTGTGGTTGTGTGCGAGTGTCTTCACGTGGTGGGGTGTGACGGGGAGTGACTGACGGAACGAGTTCTAATTACAAACAGGCCGTGTTGCCGCCGACCTGAAAGCATTAGTCCCCTCCACTACCCGATTAGTGCGCCTAATATGCTCGCCGTGACGGATACATATCGGGCTGCGGGCCGTTGCAAAGTGAGCTGCCTTT